GCAAAATCAAATAGTTAAATAGTGGTTGAGATACTAAAGCTTCTGGTGAAGTTCAAATACATTGGACTATATATTGGCAACTTTAAAAACATGCCTAACAAAGCAGCACATCACATAACTTACCTTTTCTACAAATCTAATAAAATAGTATTATGGATCATGTATATATTGCACTAAGTAGAAATGTTCACATTGAAGTAAATGAAATTTCCATATTTCAGTTTAAAGATTGGTTATTTCACAGGATTAAACCTGATGATAACCTAAATCAAAGAATTTTTTAAAAGAACTTACTAAGAGGAAGTAGATTATTTACATGAAAGACCATAATTAAATATAGATTAAAATGTTAACAGGAAATAACATATACCTCTTTCTACCGAAGTTAATTTTAATTCAGAAACCACTTCTTGCTCATGTTTTGCTTACTTAAGAGACAACCACATTCTAAATTATCCTAATTTTGAAAAGATGAAATGTATATATKTTTGAATTATGACCTACATACATTGACAGTTTCTAGTTTTATTTCTTCTTCATTAATTGTGCATCTTTGGTATACCAACGACTAGGCTAACTGCCACAGAGTACATATGAAGATTGCAGGATTTCTAGGAAAGCCAGACCTATAAATAAATGATTTTATTATTTGTTTGTTTACTTTTGTAGTGCTTACCAACTGCTCTACTAGTGAGCTACATCCCAGTTCCCCAATCCATTATTTTAATACCACAGGATAAATCCAAAATCATCATAGAAATATTAAAAAGAAATGTACTTTCAGGTTATAGAAAAAAACTATGAATGATGTCTAGGGGAGTAYCTTGTGGCTTCTTCATTTCTTTAGTATACTGGCCCAGCCATTAAGCAAAGGTGGAAAATCCCAGTTAAGGAATTATTTCCCATTTTTTCCTTAAATCTGTAACTATTAGTTACCTCTATGTATGTACTATGCATGTGTGTACAAATAAAACATGCAGAAACTTTTCTTAAAAATTCCTAAATTAACAAATATATACAATTAAACCTTTAGTAATTACATATTTGTAGGGAGGGGCACAATAATATTAATGTTACTTTAGAAATGGTTTGAAGATAGGCATTYCAATTTTTCTATACTGACTTTTCTTAATCACTTGTGGCATTTTCAGTTTAAAACAGTCAATTCTTATCAGTTCAATTAAACAGCTGTGTACCTTCAGAGGAAATGCTAAGCACATAAAATTACTACTGTCAGGATGAGTAATAGTTACCTTTTCCAGGTGAAACCAATATACTTTAATGCCTCTTCAGCTAAACAATCAAGAACATAGCACACATGTTCTCCATAACCTGACTTTAATTTTGAAGGAGGAAAATCTGCAGTTCTTCCCTGAAAAACAAAAGATAACAGGCTAGTATTTGTTAGTTTTTTCTAAATGTTGCAATATTTTAAGCACAAAACTGCTGAATACATTTATCACTTTTTTATTTCTCTGATTTAAAATAACTTATTACATTGCTTCTTAGAAATCTATCCAACAACAACAAAACTAAAATAAAAACTTWATTGTTAAAAGTATCAAATTAAAAGGCAATTATATTGCAATAGCATAACAAATCATTGATCTTGTTGGGTTAAAAAAAAAATCAGCAAAACTACTAGCCTGGTAACAGTTTAAACAACTATGTGAAGGACAGAATGACTCAATTGTCAAAAATTGGTAATATGTATGCCAAAAATGTCTTACTAGTTGTCTCCAGGAAAAGTCATAAATTAAGAGTATAAATGCTATTGTAGGCTATTAAATAAAAGTTCCCTTTCAAAATACATAGTGTTTCAACTTTGTAGTTCTTTTTTTTTTTTTAATCATTCTTTTAAAGGAAGAACTAACCACTCATAAATTTACCAAGAAAAATTTTACTTTGGACTATAAAGATTATATGCTAAATATTTTCAGAAGTGGCATTAATATTCTAATATCATTCTGAGAAGGTTTTACACAAAAAGAAATGTAGAGATAATTACTATACATTATACGTATGTATAGTATATATAGTTATTATATATATTATATATACATATATTTTTTTCCTCCCATAAAGGAGACATTCAAAAGGCTAGCATTTATTATTGAATTACCAATATTAAAATTAATAACTTGAGTCTATTCAGACAGAACAGGGTGTTTATACTTACAAAGGACCGAAGCTCAGATAATATGTTAGATATTGTTGCATTAGGGTCATCATATTCCTGAGGCTGCTCAAAGGGGCGTCCTGCTTTGTTAATCAGCCAAGCAGCAAGAGTGCAAAACATGTAGAACTGTTCACCAGGGTTGGTAGGCAGAGCAAAATAGTGTCTGTTTCAAAATAAGGGAGGAGGGGAATATTCGAAATAATGCAAGTAAGTCTATAATAACTAATGGGGCTAAGTCCCAAATTGCCAAAGAAAGCCCCCATAGCCTTCAAATTGAGACACTGTTAATTCGTTCTTACATTTCCAGTAATGCACAGCACTCACATTAAAGTCCCRAACCAGCAGAATTAGGTCATTTGCTACTCTACATAAAATATTAGATGAAAGACTTTATATGCAGGGTATGTAGTGTATGTAAAAAAAAAAGTATGTAAAACTTTTGCCAAAAGTTTAATAATAAGTGAGTACCCTCTGAAAATGATAATTTGAAATCATAAGAATATGTTTTTAAAAGACCTTAAACATTATTCACTGTGCATTTTTACTGTTTCTAACCTATCAGGTATGTTAAATAGTTGTTTTTATTTTAACTGTATATTCAAATCAACTGAGGCGCCAGTAAAAATACTGCTACTTGACCAATCATTGCTAATTTCCTCATCAAATTATTGAATCATAATTTATGAGAGTGGAGTACCAGCATAGGTATATTTCAAAAGCTTCCTAGAGGTTCTAGGATGCAGACAGRATTAAGAAGCCTTTATCACATCACCAGTCTGGCAAACAATTGTTCACTTTGACTTTTGCTAAATCCTCTACTCTAGTAGAAAAAGTTTTATGGGGATTAGAATGATTTATACGAAAAAAAATGAGAGAAATAAAATGTATTAGCAACAATACTCATGTCAGTTTGGTCAAAAATCTTATTTTTTTTCATATAGCTATCATAATTATAGTCAATGTATTTACAGTTATTATAAACTTTGTCTTAAGAATCAGTGGTCAACAATCTTTCAKGTTTCCCATACTTTCTCCTTCAGAATAAGTGTAAGTTATTTGGGAGATAACAGAAATATGGAAAGAAAAAATAAACCATGGAAGTCCTTCAGATATATACTCAAAACCCTTTCAAAGCATCTACCCACCACCAACTCATCTTTTCTTTATCAACTGGTTTTCTTCAGGACAGAGGAATGGATATTGATAGATATTGCAGACCAAAGACAGTAGTTTCTCAAACATTACTATGCATCAAAATCATCTAGAAGGCTTACTAAAACACAGACTGCTTGCCCCACTCCTAAAATTTCTGAAAAAAAACAGACATAGTAAAAGGCCAGAGGAATTTCATTTCTAAATTTCCAGGGGATGCTGAAACTGCTGGTCTGGGTGATCATACTTCCGAGAACTCCTGGACTAGTATATCTCCACATAAATCCAAGGTACAAAGTATCCTGCTGAACTCATAAGGAAATATTAGAGAGATGATATCAACAGAATCTTAGTTTGACATTTGGAAAAATAATATATTTTTATTAACCTAGAAAATGTTGGTTGTCTATATTTTCAGGACAAATCATTTTAAGTAATAATCCCTAACCTACTTCTTCTATCATGGATCAAGCTGAACTACTTTTTCCTCTTACCCTTTTCCTATTACGGACTAACTTAGCAACATGGACAGTTTACATAAAGCCTACATATCTTTCAAGTTAATGGACAAGAGAAGAATGAAATCAGAATTGTCAAGAAAAAYTATTTTAGCCCATCTGCAAACATTAAGTACTAGATTCTTAATTGTCTCTTACAAAATAAAATAAATGTAAGTATTAAAGTGAAGGAAAAGCAATAAAACTTAATTATCTGGCTATCATTTGGCTAATGACTAGAGGAGAAAATGCTAGCTGTCCATTACCCTCAGCAACTAATGACATTGCCTTCAGAATATTATGAACTTTTTGCACAGCAAGCACAGAACTTTAAGTTCCACGATGAGAGAACAATTGCTACAGTTGTCATTTCTTTTCCATTTCTCAATTTCTAAGAGAACTGTTATTGCAAAAGCAGAAGTCTTTTAAACCATAGTAATTGTCAACAAGTTTACTATAAAGTGCTCCCCAGCAAGGTCCTTAGATCCCAGGGTTGCCAATTGTACATATAAGGTCTAGTAATGGGAAACAAAAAGTAGAAATTATGTAACTGATAACAGAATTCATCTCCAGAAATGAGATTGTGGGTTRTGTATTTTTCTACACATTTTCATTGTGTTCTTTTGTGCTTTCTACAGTAATTATTTTTCATAACTTTATAACAGTTTGTGTTTTGTAGAGATGCGTCTGTGTTTAAAGGAATGGGCAGGTTGTCTCCCAGTCCTCTGCCGTTCCACAACTTGTTTACTTTCTCTACTAAATTACGAAGTCTGAGCTCCGTGACGCTGAGAGCTCCAGGGCTCCCCGGCTGAGTTTCGGGAGAAGCGCCCTTCCCTGGCTAGGAAGATGGAGGCATGATCTGCTAATCCGTGGGCGGCGTTCCCAGCAAGCCCGAGGAAGGCATCTCCCCAGGGCCCAGCCAACTCGGGACGAGGGCACCCACCTGGACGGGGGCTTTAGGTTGCTCTTCCGGAGGAGTTCCTCCTCGTAGCGGAGCAGCTTCAGCTTCTCCACCAAGTCCTCCATCACCACGAACATGTGGTAGGCCGCTCCGGGCCCGCGCTCTACCGCCACCTCCCCAGCCCCATCGCCGCGAGACCTAGACACCCCGTCGTCCAAACCCGATGGCGTGACCACTGCTGCAGCGGCAGCCATTGCAGAGCGGACAGAAAATGCCCAGCGAGGGCTCTAGCCCACAGAYCTCTGCGGCCTATGCCGCCTGCGCTGCAGCAGTCAGGACCGCCGCGAACCGTTACCAGGCGACAGCCGGGTAACCGGTCACCCGGGCAACTAGATCCCGCCTCCTTTCCGCCCTCCGGGTTCCTTATAAATGTTCTCCAATCAGGGCGMGCTTCCTGAGTGACGTTATCTTGCACCCACCCCCTGATGGGAGGAGGTCCCGCCCTTGTGGAGGCGTGGCGTCCTGCTCCCCCTACCTCCGTGAACAGTGGCGACTGGAGGTTCTGTGTCAGCTTTGTTGTACTGGGGATGGCGTGAGGCTTACTGGACCTGGTGGTTGTGGGCAGCCAAACGGGAATCTGGGTCACCTGAGAGCAGTTAAAAAGATTAAGCGGAGCTGTAGGCGCACAGTATTGCTACGCTAGCCCACTGATTCCTTTTTTTTTTTTTTTTAATTTTCTCAAAATTGCAAGTTTTAGTACTTGTTTGATAGTCGATATCCTTAGTTTCACTTTACATCAGGAACTTTCCAACGAGTGTTCGGTGCTTGTATTTCTTAAACGTTCGTCAGGTAGTGCTGTATTTAACAATATAGTATAAAGCTTGAACTATTACAGTGCCCCGCTATTACTTCAGTGCTAGAAAAGTGTTCGGTAGGAAGAAGACAGGATGAGGCATGGGGAAAAGGTTTGTTCTGCTTCAGAAACGTTAATGCTAAACGTGCATCTTGATGCTTAATTTGTTTCAAGCTCATGGCAGGCCGTATTCATATTTTGGTACTTTCTTAAATCCAACAAAATAGAGACTATTTTGAAAGATATTTCTTTGTGTTATAACTCAAAGTGTGGCTAAAGACAGGATTTTACTACTGTATTCTGCAGCTGTTGACCTAGAAAATGCAAGAAAGGGACATAATAGATCACAGATGGAACCAGCTTTACTGTTAYCTAAAAACTTTGGTTTCAAGAAATTTTCCTAACAGCTACATAAAAAGTACGGTAAGTGGTAGATGCTGTTTTCTGGAAGAAAATAACTTAAGGCAAGAGGTTGCACGTGTATTTGTGTTTATAATGTGATTTTTAAGAGTTCTCTAATCTCTTATATTTGCTACTAAAGGATATAGAAGCACCACACTTTTGGACGTGACTGAAATTTGAAATATAGCTAATATATTTGTGTTTTTGTTAGAAAAATGAAAAGAGCACTCTTAATCAGTCTGGAACTGATGTATTTCTGATACCAATAAAGATATCAAAGTGAGAAAAGGCAAATACTAGTTTCTATCTATCAAATAAAGGACATAGAATTACTAATTTATGTAGAAAATAACCTAAAATGGGAAACTCACTGAGAATTGCTGCTAAAATAAATAACATTGTTTGCCACCACAAGTCATTGACCAGTTGCTTTTAGCAAAGATTCGTGGGAAAATTTTKACTCTACCTCACTGCTAAGCTCTTTCCTATTCTAAGCCTTAGAATAGTGATTCTTCCATGTACATCTGTATACCCCAACCACCACTGTGGAGATTAAGGGTACTGTGATACAGCTGCCTATGTACAAAATACATGTACAGCTTTTTAGGATTAAAAAAAAGTTTCCATTTACGTTTTGGGGTACTTGATTAACCAACAAGCAACCTGGGACTTTTTAAATGACTCTTAAAAGGCTCTCAGACTTTAGGGATGAATTGTTATACATAGAGAGGTAGATGTTTATGCAGGACATGCTGTCTACATGAGACGTTCTGACATTTTTAGAAAGTTACATAACAGTGGTGAAATAAAAAAAAAAAAAACATTGCTTTTTGGCTGACAAGAAACCCTCCAACAATGTTAATATTTTGATTGGGAGGAAATAAAATCTCTCCTAGAACCTAGCCATTTATTTCCCATGTACACAACTGACTCATGCTAGCTTGGAAGCATGTAAAGAATTATTTTTTCCCCTTTAAGTGTGRAGAAGAAAAAGATTACAAAGCCAACCCTAGTAACTTTGGCACAAAGAGAATGAAAGAAAAGAAAAGCCAACTGTTCAACACTGCATGTTTTCCCACAGGGGGAAAAAAATGGGAAAGAACACTGAAATGTCATTCATTTTTGTAAGGTGTAGGCATAATTTTTGCTGATTCCTTATTTAACCATAATAGTTGTTAACACATCAAAAGGTTTTTTCCTTAGTGGAAGTAGTTTCCTTCATGTGTGAGAATGCACACAAATCCTCTTCTCAGTCACTTGGAAGCTTTGGAGTACTCTTGCCACAGTGTTTTTTGCCCAGCTAGCTCATTGGTTGACTAAGAAGTTAGAGCTTGAAGAGAATGGAATTTAAGTTTATCCCTGGAAATACTGTATTGACCACTATTTATAGCTGAGCTTCAGAATTTACCTAACATGCACCATTGTCTGGGTTTGATCCCCAGCACCACAGAAACAAAACATCATCTAAGAATGGTATATTTGTAGGGAAGTGACAGGACAAAGGAAAAGGAGTAAAAGTTGCTAAGGATGATAAATTGTGGGAAAATAAATTGGAAAAGTAATTTGAATAGGTTTGTTTGCACAAACCCAATTCAGCATCAACTCCCAGTGTCTAGTGAAAAAAAAAATGTYATTCTGTTCCTGGTACAGGAAGGCATCTTTCTCCTGGGAAATTTTATGACCAGCTTTTAGGGAGGTCTCAGAGTCCTTTCTACATCTGCTATTTCTTAAGTGCCATCAGCTCAAAACAATCAATATGCCACAGCAGTATATTCTGTGACATGTTCTAAATTCCTCAATCTAATAAATTTCTGCCAAAATTCTAGAAAGAAAAGAAAATCATATTTAATGTGAGACATGAAAGGGATGCCTTTTGAAGCAAGCTGATGCCAAAGCTCATGTGAAAACATCAGCTTTTCACAACTATACTAGAAATCAGAACCATGTACTGAGACACATAACAGGAAGAAGTATTGCAGAAAAAGAAACGATTGCAGGTAGAACAATTTAGTAAAAAATCCAAGGGAATCAGAGAAGCTGTTAAGACATCTCAGCAGGTTTACCATATATCATAATTAAACTAAAGTTAGTGGAGACAGAAAAAAAAATTATAAACTCAGTAAAAAATAATATATAGTCCCCAGAAATAAATCTGTCACCTCTATGGAGAAATTGTAACTTTACTGAAAGTTATGGAAAAATCCAAATAGAAATATAATTTTTGAATGAGAAAATCATTATYTTTTCTCAATTGATAAATAGTGTAGTTTTGACAAAATTCCAAGAGGGCTGATCATAAAATTCATAAATAACGTAAATTTTAAAGAAATATGAGAAAGGAATCATGAATTTCCGAGAAAGTAATGATATCACAGGAAATAGCCTGGAAACAGATGAGAATTTATATGGAGACTCAATATACAATTAGGTATTACAAATTAGTGGAGAAAGATGAACAATTCATAAAATGTTAATTGAAGCTATGGGGTATCCATATGGAAATAAAATTACATTTCTGATTCCCATCACATAAATTCCAGATGGATTAAAGACATAACTGTGAAATATTTATAATATATTTGGAAGAAAACAAAATAGAATCTTTAACCTCAGTGCAGAGAAGGATTTCTTAAGGAAAATAAATTTGAAAAGAGAAACTCATCAAAATTTAGGAACCGAGGTAATGGAACTAGTCATCCCACTCCTTGGCAGAACACTATAGCAATACAACCACTTCAATGTTTATAGCAATGCAATTCACAATAACCAAAYTATGGAATCGGCCCAGATGCCTGTCAATAGATGAATGGATTAATAAAATGTGGTATATATACACAATGGAATTTTACTCAGCCATAAAGAAGAATGATATTATGGCATATGCAGGTAAATGTATGGAACTTGAAAATATCATGCTAACTGAAATGAGCCAGACTCAGAAAATCGAGAGTCAAATGTTTTCTCTCATATGGAAGCTAGAGAAAAATAAGGGAAAGAAGGTAGAGGAGGGGAGATCAGTGGAATCCAAGAAGGAGATGGAGAAGAGGGAAGAGGGAAATATGGAATATAGGAAAGGGGAGGAATATGGAAGGAATTTAACAAAATCATGTTATGTGCATATATAAATATACTACAGGGAATTTCAGTCTTGTGTATGCATAGAAAGCACCAATCAAAAATGAGTCAATGGAAGAGCAAGAGGTAGAGGAGGAAGAATGGAGGGAGAACAGAGTGGGGGAACTGATGGGGGTGGGGGTAATAGGGACTGAAATGGAGTAAATCAAATTCCATGCTTGTATGATTTTGTCCAAATGAACCCAATTACTGTGTATAACTATAATGCTCTAATAAAAACATTTAAGAGATTTTAGGAGTCTAGGTACAAAATAGGACTATATAATAAATAAGCAATGAGAAAAAGATATTTGTGACCTATATAATATCAATGGATGAATCTGTAAGATACAGATAGGTCATGGCCAAAATCTCTCTGCCATGCTAAAGATTTTATGTATGTTCTTTTCTAACACAAAGATTCTTGGGCTCAACACCACTGACATTTTTAGGTTGGATAGTTCCATATTTTGTGTGTGTGGAGAAGCTGTTCTGTGCATTATAGATGTTTAACCACTTTCCTTCCCTCTATTCATTAAATGCTAGTAGTATCTACCCCCTAGTTGTGACAACCAAAAATGTCTCTAGACATTGCCAAATAGATCCAGGCAGCAAAATCACCTATGTTTGAGAGCCACTGCTCTAAATGCATGGATTGAAATTTCAGATGACTTTAAAAGGGCCAGGCATGTACAGGGAAATGAGTGTGCYGTGTGTGAGGAGACTACAGGAAACTAGAAAACATCCCAAGGAAAAAGCATTTTTGCCATGCAGGAATGCAGCCCAATGTTGCCATGTGTTCTGATCTTTTAAGAATGTGAATCTAGAGTTGTATGTCAATATGAGGTACTAATCCCCTCAAGAATGATCTTTCTGCATGGAAAATATGTCAGGGGCTACTATCATTTGTTAGAGATACTTGATTTGTTAGTGCATTAAAGTTTAAAATTGAAAAGTCTTATTCTTAACTTTTTAGTTTGATATTCAAACCTTATACAGTTTATAAATGTGAATTTATAAATTGTAGTAGTAGAGTTTAAGGGGGAGGATGTACAACTAAAATTCCTACAGAGGTTTTTAAATTGTTCAAGTTTACTTGCTATACTTGTTTTAATGTATGGAATGGCAACCCATTCCAAATACAGATAAATCTCCTAAGTCTAAAAGTAAAGAGAAGGTGGGAGGTAAATAAGTTATACTAAATATCAAATACGCAAACRTAGATTTCAATGTGAATCCAAATGCTTAATAAGTTTCTCAATTAGTGCCACAGTTAGAATGTGTCCCCCCAAAAGCATGTGTTGGAAACTCAGCCACCA